CCCCATCTGCGTACTGAATCCATACATTTTCCATTCTCTATTAAGTCTCAACAAGTACCTTTTCTAGAGTTTCTACCGTGTTCTCTTCCTCTTCACTCTCTGATTCTTCCTAAGGGTTCTATGTTTTTGGATCCTTAGAAGAGATCTTTAGCATAAATATAACTTGTACCTTTTATTTTTTTATTTTTATTTTTGCGTTGGTGTTCTGCAAGCTGTAAGAAAAATTAGTCAGCACCTTCATCTCATCCGCCTCTTTCCACTTCTCTAGTTGCAGGCTGCTGCAGACGGTTCCATCCGTATGCCTTTTCCCCAGTGTGACTCCACCCTTACATGGGGCAAGCTGTTTGGGTTTTGTTTTGTGTTGTGTTTCTGGGAGGAGCACAAAAAAGGCCATGGAGCAGCTATCACAGTCTGTTTTGAGTCTCTCCACACTTAGTACTTTCGGGGATCAAGGTCCGGTTTCTAACTCATCAGCTGTTTTGGGGGGGACTCCGCACACTTGCATGGTAGACTCCATTTATAAGGGAGTCACACTGCCCCATACCATGCAGAGGTTACCTTGGCATTTCCCTCCAAGGATGCTCTGCTTTCTGTTGCTTTGGCTTTGCTTGTATGTTTTGTTGCCCATTGCAGGGAAGCATGCAAAGGCCGTTACAGGAAAGAGATGGGCTGTCCTAGGGAGACAGAGAGGGGTTGCTTCTGCAGGTGTTCCGCCCTCACATTGATTTCTCTCAGTTGCATGATCTTACTGGGACCACACACACATAAGCACACACATAAATAAATGAGTAAGTAAAATAACTATTAAAGACAGGCTGGCCTCCAACTCAATATGTGGTTACAGATAACAACCTTGAACTTGTTTTGAGCCTCCTGCTTTCACCTCCAGCGTGCTGGGATAACAGGTGTGCGCTACCCCTCCCACATGTCCTTAAAGTGATACATTGTCTGAGAGTCCTGGCTTCTAGAACTCAAGCTTTCCATACGGGAGAGGCTGAGATACTTTGGAGGCATGAACTTAGAGCTGCCTGACAACACGTTCTGCCTAAGCTTCTGTGTGTCTCCATCCATCTGCATCAGAAAGTGGGTATGTGGGCATTTGGAGCCTTTTGTCTCCTCTGGACACAGCCTCTAAATGCCCTTTTAAAAAATATTTGTTGAATCAATCATTGTTGGGTGAGTTTGGAGTCGGCTGCACTCACAAATTGTACTCTGGGCAGGGCTTGTTAATGAGTACCCCTCTGTCTCTGGATCTGCTGATGTGTGTTCCTGGCACCTGAATACAGAAGGCTGGCCCTGTGCAGTTGTCTGTTGACCCTTGGTTGTCAGAAGCAACAGCAGCTGTTCCTTTACGATTGTCTGGGGTGGGGGGGGGGTGGGGGAGGATGCTACTCATAATTTCTGATCTTACCAGAAAGGTTTGCAGAGACAGCCTAGAATTCCATGCTCTGCCTCCGCGTTAGTGAGCGCCATGATAGCTCAGCCGGTGGTGGCCATAGTTTCCAAACTCTCCTAGGATAGTGTCTTTGGGCGGCAAGTCACTGTGTTACCCTCTACAAGTAGAAATCACAAGGGCTTCTCTAAATGATTGACCTCTGGGCTTCTTTTAGAATGCTTGGCAATTTTTGTGTGTGTGCACTCAAGGACAATTGAAGATCTGGGTGAGTGGGTATGCGCTATGTATGGCAGTCAGAGGACAAGCTTTGGTATTATTTTTCAGGTGGACGTTGGCCACGTTGTCCAGGGTAGCTGGCCAGGGAGCTTCCAGGGATCTGCCTGGCCTGGCTTTGCTTCCACCCATGTCACCACCGTGGGATTCCAGGTGGAACCACTGCACCGAGCTTTTGGAATTGGCTTTGGGGGTCTGAACTCAGGTCCCCACACAAGCAAAGCAAGGACTTTGCCACTGAGCCATTCTCAAGTATGGACACTTAGCTCTCAGTTGGCCAAGATCCTAGAGGACAAGAGCCCAGGGTTTGGGCTTGTAGTTGGCATTCATGCTGCAAGCTCTCAGAGAAGGAAGCAAGATGGCCTATGAACAACTGTGGGACCTGCAATTGTTGTTGTTTTAACAACAACAACAACAACAACAACAATTTCTCCTTCTCCTTTTTTTTCTCTTCAACTTTTAGACAGGGTCTCATTCTGTGGCCCTGGCTGGCCTGGATCTCATGATGTAGATCAGGTTAAGCTTAATTAAACTCATAGAAATCCTCCTGTCTCAGCCTCCTGGGTGCTGGGATTAGAGGTATATGCCACCACATCCTGCTTGCCTGGCAGTTTCTTAACCGTTCCAAGGATTCCTAAAGGGCTTGTACCCCCCCATTTCCCAGCACAGTGAGCCCCAGAGCTCAGGTTCCCCACTCTATAGGGACAGACAGAAGAATTCTGTCCTGTTTTAGGACCTACCCAGGCCCAGCCCTCTCCTCAGTCCCTGCTTTCTGGGAACTGGCTGCTCAGCTCAGCAGGAACAATATCTTTTCTATTCAGATCTGCCTCTGCTGCCCTTTGACAAACTAGCCAGTGACTTGAGCTCCTGTCCCACGGAGGAGGCCCCCATGCTATGCCCTAACCCAGGGGCTGGCAGCCTAGCCTGGGCAACAGTCCTAGCGGGCTAGCTGGGTAGGGGGTTGTATTTGCAGCGCCCCCCTCCGGCCAAGTAAGGCTTGCAATGAGTTCAGGTAAATGGGGAGGGGGTGGGCGGGGTCACAGACAACAATGGCCGGAAAAGCTTGTACTTGCCTTAAGTACTGATTTCGGAAACCCCTCCTCCTCCTTCTGAGAGGCTGGCAAGAAAGGCACAGGAACTGGTCTAGGTTGGAGACAGGGTGGAGACAGGGCGCCCGCCACTTGTTGAAGCTGTTTTAATGTAGTCTGAGATTAACTCAATACTTACGGTTAAGGCACCAGAGACTAGTTTTGTTCCTGTCATCCCTTTGGTGACTTTCAGATTGAGATTATTATGTGTCCCAGGCTAACCTTGGCTCACAATGTAACCAAAGATGATTTTGAGCTTTTGATCCAGCCTCCACCTCGAAAGCAGTGGGATTACAGACTTGGTTTTATGCCATGCTGAGGATTGAACGCGGGACAAAGGGAATGTTAGCAAACTCTACCAACTGAGCCACATCCTTAGCTACAGAATGGGTGATTTTATTGCCGATTCATGGAGGCACAAACCTGGGCTTCAGTGGTCAAGGACACCACAAACCAAAATAAGGCTGTGGTTTCAGCACAGGTTAGACAGATTCTGAAGCTCTGTCTGCTTGATTCCCTAGAAAACTGACAGGGTAGAGAGAAGGGAAACGGGGACAGCAGGACTTGGGATGATCCCCACAGTAGTTCACACAGGATTAACCTGGGATGAGGAGGATGCTGGGAGAGAGAACAGATGATGTGTCTCTTAAACATTTACCCCAGGGCCATCCGCTGGAAGAGACCCGAAAAAAGCTAGGGAGAGGGACCAATGGGAGAGTGGGCAGAGGGTCATTGCCATTAAGGAACAAGTGGTCCCCGAGGAGGAGGTGGAGGAAGACATGGGGGGGAAGAGGACCCGGGAGCCACGGTCAGAGGCAGGCAACCCAAGGAGGGAAAGACATCCTGTGGCTGACATCACTCAGGTTCCTCTGAACTTCCTGCCAGTGACGGGGAAGTTGGACAGGGGTGCTAGAGGACTGAGTCCTGGAAGAGGTCTTTGTGGGCTGGGGCAGTGACTCAGTTCAAAAAGCGCTTAGTGTGCAAGCACTAAAGACCAGAGCTCAGACCCCCAGCACCCATTAAAAAAAAAGGCTGACCTCTTGCCTGTCCAGCACCAGGTGGACAGAGATAGGCAGATCTCACTGGCTGAGCCAGTGACCTCCAGGCGCAGCAAGAGAGTCTGACTAAAATATAAGGTGGAGAAGAAATTGTGGAAAATATCCGCCCTCAGCCTCTGACCTCCACCCCACAGGAACTCAAGGGAGCAAGCCTGTGCGCATGCACGCATCGTCTTTAGCTGAGAACGGGGAGAGAGGGAAGGTATTTGGTAGGCCGCAGTGACTCAGCTGCTATCTGCATCAGTGGTCATCTACAAAATGCCTGTCATGTGCTGGTTTATGCTGGAGGCCCAGCACAGGCCAGCCCAGGCCCAGGCAATCCCCATTGCTCAGGTAAGGGACCTACACTTCACCTTGCGCGGCCTGCCGCAATGGAGCCCTCCCTGGTCAACCTTGGCTGTGTATGGTATGAACTGTGGTGACCAGGGCACTGAGAGTGACCTCAGGATGGGTACAGCAAACCGCATGACCCAGCGCAAAGAGGGATGTGGGCCCTATAAAGAAACTTAGGCTCCTATCTCTTCGTTTTCCTTTTCAGAGAGGGTCTCGTGTCATTCAGGTAGCCAATAGTGATCTTGATCCTCCTGCCTCCACTTCCCTAGTGCTGGGATTACAGGAGCAACGTGCCATACCCAGCGTTACATACAAAGTGCTCAGGATCCAGTCCCGTCCTGCCTCTGGGCAAGCACTCTACCAACTGAGCCACACCCCCAGCCCCTGGAATATGTTTCGGATGGTGACATATGTTCATCCTGTGTACAGCTGTCCAAGGCAGCACGTTCACCCCCAGTAAAGAGAGCTGGATTGCTGGCCTAGTGGCACATGCCTGTAATCCCAGCACTCTGGGAGTCAGAGGCAGGCAGGTGCATTCAAGGCCAACCTGGTCTACAAAGTGAGTCCAGGGACAGCCAGGGCTACACGGAGAAACCCTGTCTCGAAAAAACAAAACAACAACAAAAATGTGGACTGTGCCTGAGGAACAGCAACCGAGCTTACCCTCTGGCTTGCAGCCTCCCACCCCAGTACATGTGTGCCCACACCTACAAAACTTCATGTTTTAAGCAAAGTTTGTTCCGTGTTTGCTGCCATTAAAGGTTGCATTCTAAGCAGGGACATGTCCCCGGGCCAGCCCTGCAAGCCTGCCGCCCGGCGCTGACTATCTCCTTCTCCTTTTATCCCCTCTAGCAACATGTCTGAATGCTTGGCCGATGCCCTGTGCCAGCGCTGCCAGGCCCGGTTTGCTCCCACGGAGCGCATCGTCAACAGCAATGGGGAGCTGTACCACGAGCACTGCTTTGTGTGTGCTCAGTGCTTCCGGCCATTCCCCGAGGGGCTCTTCTACGAGGTGAGGGGGATTCAGGGTGCTAGCCTGATCTCGGAGGGCCTGTGGCTCCTGCCAAATCCGGCCAGTCTCTCAGGCAGCAAAGCTGAGTTTCAAATGCTATGTTGGCCCATCTCTCACCTGGGGACTTCTGGAAGCCCTCTTTTTCATTCAGCCTCCCCTGGACAGGTTCTGGGGGCAGCTTCCGGGATAAGGAAGACCCCACATCGTGGTGTTTGCTGTCCGTTGGGTCAGACAGTAAATGCAATGGCTGCGTGATTCCACCATCTGGTGAGGGTGCTTCAGAAGCAGGCATCCTCGTGGCTGGAATTGGGTGACCAGGTGATGTTTGATGGGACCTGAAGAGAAGGGACACACAGACACAGACACACACACACACACACACACAGATACATACAGACATAGACACACACACACACACAGACAGACATTGCAGAGACACATTCACACACATATATGCACACATCCTGCCCCTCTGCAGGAAACGGTCTTGGCAGAGGGCACAGCACAGCTGCAGGGGGAGCATGTGGGGTGTTAGGGGAGAGGCTGGTGTGGCAGAAGTAGAAGCAGGGGAATGAGAGGGTTGTGGCAGGAGGTAGAGACTCCTCCTCCGTCTTTCTACCTTACTGGCTCTCCTTTTGGGGCCTTGATCTTGGGACAGAGGAGTCACAGCATTGTCCAACACTTGAAAAGGACCCCTCCCCCCCCCCATTCAAGGCATGCGACACCGGACCGTGGGAGGCTATGTAGTGACACTGTCTCAAAGAAAACAAACAAAATGGAAGAGAGAGAGAGGCTCTGGTCATTGGGCATACAGAGGCCATGAGCCAGAAGCTGGGATGCCAGGTGGGACCAGGAGTGGGGTCATTACTCGGATGAAAGTAAAGGGCCCATGCCAGCTCACAAGAGCAAGCTGTAAACCCTTTCTTCTTAAACGCAGCTGTTGTTAAAAAGTAGCCCAATGCAGAGGCTGAAGAAGTGGCTCAGTCATCAGCAAGCTTGCCTAGCAATTGTGAGCTGTTGAGTTTAATCCCCAGGACGAATATAAAAAAGCAGGGCATGGTGCCTCGGCATTGGGAAAGCATAGACCGGTGGATCCCTGGGGCTGCTGTCCAGTCAGCCAGCCTGTTTGGTGGGCCACAGGCTGGTGGGAGACCCGGTCTCAAAAAGGGTGACACACCTGCAGACACATAGACATGGAGACATATAGTGAGCTGTATTAATAGATATCGTGCTTTATTAAAAATGAAGATAACAAGTACTTAAACTGTCCTACTTCTCGTTATTTTGTTAGATGTTCACGTTTATGCTTCTGAGGTTATTTCTGTCCGCATGGTGCCACTTGTGGCATCAGACTGGCAGTAAGATTCACACCACAGCGTCTGGCAGGCCCAGAGTCAGGGCCTCTGTTGCCTCCGCCAGAGCTGGTTGAATGCTGGCTGCCGCTCCCCTGGGCTGCAATGGAGGGTGCCGGGCGACTGGAACTTAAAGGGAGCTGTGCTCTCTGGTGGGCTGTTGGCATCACCGACTGACTGATACAAAGGATCCCGTCACTTTTCAGGCTCCCTGGAGATGCTGGCTGGCTATAGGGCAGCGGAGGGTTGGCCAGAGCTCTGCGAGGGGTTTTAGCCCAGAACCAAGCCTAGCACACAGCAGGTGCTCAGGAGACATTGCTGGTGAGGAAGTCTAAGCCTCTGTGTCCTCTCTGGCTCAGAGGGAGAGCTGCAGGTAGCTTTAGGAGAGGGAAGTTATCAAGGTTGACTTTGAACTTCTGGTCCCTCTTGCCTCCATCTCCCAAGTGCTGGGATTACAGACATGTTTATGCAATCCTGTGACCCAAACCAAGGGCTTCACCCATGTTAAGCAAGGACAAACTGAGCTACATCCCAGGCCCAGGATTTTGTTGTTGTTGTTGGGAGAGGAAGGAAGAGGTAAGCTTTGGCCAAGCTTGGGAACAACACATAACAGTGGCTGACCGCAGCACTCTTTTCTTTGTCACCCCAATTCCCTTAGTGTCTGAGGCACTGAGCTGGGCAGACATGGAGGACAAAGTGGCACATGTAACTCAGACGTGATCCATTCTTCCCCAGCACCAGCTCCCCACCTCAGTGCGTCCTTTTGTCAGGATCCATCCTCTCTCAGCAGACAGAGGAATCCCCGAGAGCTGGCCTCGATCCCCTCAGCATCTCTGGGGAACCCTCACTTCGCACTCTGATAAACTGCATAGGCGAGTCCCCTGCTCCAGCTAGCTTTAGAAGTCCATCTTCTCAGAACCACAGACCCCTGCTATTTATTAGGGGGCAAAGGCTTGTAAAAATGCTGAGTGTCTTGTGTGTCTTTAATTTTTCCCCCCTGTGGCTCCATTTGCAGTTTGAGGGCCGGAAGTACTGCGAACATGACTTCCAAATGCTGTTTGCTCCATGCTGCGGATTCTGTGGTAAGAGCTGGTGACAGCACATAGGAAGGGGGAAGGGGACAAGTTGAGGACCAGGCAATACTGTCATTCCTTAGCCTGGGAACTTTTCCTCATCCTCTTGCTCTGTCTTTCTGAGCACTGCTGTTCAGGCCCCTAAAAGAGGGGTGCTTGGACAAGGCTGAACTGGGAGGAGAACTGGGTACATAAGACTTGGGAGGGGAGGGGGGGGGGGGGGGGGGGGGGAGGGGAATGCCTTGACTGACAGCTGAGGGGTTTCCTCTTCTAGGGGAGTTTGTCATTGGACGCGTGATCAAGGCAATGAACGCCAACTGGCATCCAGGCTGCTTCCGCTGTGAGCTGTGTGACGTGGAGCTGGCTGACCTGGGCTTTGTGAAGAACGCGGGCAGGTGAGGCAGCTGCAGGCGAGGGCAGAGAGGAGGGGCTCTTGCCCCTACACTAAGCGCCATGGTCCTGCTAAGTAGGCTCTGCAGCGCCCTCTACTGTTCTACCCCTAGTAGAGGGAGAACAACACAGCCCCCGAGGGGGTAGATAAGAGTGGAGGCAGAAGAGTTGGGGACAGACAGGCCTAGTGGCTGTGGACGGATGAGGAGGTTTAAGTTGGCAGATCCTGATTACTCCTGACATCGCACCTGCTACTGCCACACCATGCTGACCTCAGCGGTCTCCTTCCTCCCTGTATTCATATGGCTGGAGGATGTTGGAGAGAGACCCCTTAGCCAGCTTGCCCGATTTACTCTATATTCAGGACTGTAAGCCTCACTGGTACTCTGGCAGTTCCCCTTCCAGGAAGCCTTACTATCCTTTCTTCCCGTGCCTCTGTCACTGTGGGCTCCACACCTCCGCAGCAGCCATGACGTCATCTCCCACTTGCATGGGAAAGCTTTGGGGGAGCTCCCAGCAACACCTTTGTGCCCCCGACCCCTTCCCAGCACATCTGCTGACCTGTACATTTCAGGGCATCCCTGGCATCACCAGGTCCTCTCCTTGACCCCCCAGTGGTCTCTCATCAGGGCCCACCTCTCCCACTGAGACCTCTGTGCTGTGCTAGCTTCCCCAAGTCTCCTCCTCTGCGCAGAGGTGTTCTCTGGGCCCGTGTCCATGCCTGCCCTTAAAGATGAAGTCTTGGACCTCTCAATGGCACCATCCAGGAGCCTCCCCCAGACCTCGCCTTTGTTCAATTCCCCTGCCTGTGTGGCATCTCCATTTTAGATCCCAACACACGTTCCAAATAGAGCTGCAATTTTCTCCTCCTCTGACCCAAGTGTGCTCTCCATCCCCTGTGCCGGGAAGGTAGTCCCATAAGAACTGCCCTTCCTGGCTGGGTGCTTGCCCTCCCCCTGTCACTCCTGTCGCAGCCTACAGCAATCTTGCCTCTTTGCTGCTCCAGTGGAGAGGCACATGGCCTCGTGCTGGTCCTGGCATCTGTAAGGCTCTCGTGGTCTTGTATTCAGCAGGCTGTCTTGAGGAGGGGCCATGGGGGTAGGCAGGCCAGTGCTGGTGAGACGCAGTGCTGAGCATCAGGGTCATCATAGGGTCTCTCTACTGATGGGCAGGCTACAGTTGGAGGGAGAAGTCTGAGCGGCCTCCTAAGCTAGAGTGGCACTCGGAACTCCATGATGCATGGCTTCAGGTCTTCCTGGGGCAGATAGGCCATGTGGGCCACCAGAACTACAGCAAGGGAGGTCATTCTTAGGTGGAAGGGAAGAGAATTTCAGGGGGAGGACATCCCATGTCATGGTGAGCCAGCACAATAATCTCCTTCGTCTTAGGGCTCGGTTATGTTTAAGAGTAGTACAAACAAGCACAATGAAAGGACACGTTGCAGCGGTCTCCACACTCTGACAAGTTCAACAGCTCTAAGCCAGGCAGCCATGGTGGTAGAAACCTCTTGGGAAGGAGTGGGGCTCAGGACGCCCCTTCTGAGTTTGGGTGAACTGGAGACAAGTTCACACATCTGGCTCCCTGTCTGCAGTGGGCTCTAATGGCTTCTCATCATCTACGCCACTTGCCTGGCGAGGCTACCTTCTGTTGAGAAGCGCTAGATATTGTCAGGATGGAGGCAGGTGTGGGAATGTGCTTACAGCAGGAGGGGCACAAGCAACCAGTCTGAAATGAACTCACGTGTGTCTACCACTAGAGCCTGTGTCCCCTAAACTCAGAAAGGGATTGAGGGGCAAAGGCACTGTAAGCGATACCCAATATACCATGCACTTCAAAGGAAACATTAGACGCCCCTCTAGGTCCATTGAGGCTTTTGCTGCCTCTTTTCCTGGGTCTTGGGCAGCTTGCTCTCTGGGTTCTTCTGTAGGGCTTTGTTGCCGTGGGCATCTGTAGTATGAAAGAAGCTGGAAGTTTAGCAGGGAAGAAAGGTTCCCATTGTTCCAGAAATGTCCCTGTGGCTCTCTTCCCTATTTAGCACCAGTGAAGTCACTGAGTGTCTGGGAGCTGTACAGAAGCCAGGCCAGCCCAGTCCCTGTGGAAGGGTGGACAGGGCACCCCTGTAGTTAGTCCCCCCCCTCTTGATGGATTTGCTCAGACTGGATGACCTTGCCACTGAGACCTTGGAGCAGGGCGAGAGCTGCTGACATCTCAGTCTGTTTGCTCAGGAAGTGGTGAGGGAAGACAGACTCCTTTAGCTGGCTCTCGTAGCATAGGCCCCACTGGATGCTGGTCCTCCTGCAACAGTCTACAGCTGGCTTGCTGACAGGACCTCCTTGAGGCTCACAGCTCCGATCGGGCGCTCAGGGAGCTCTCGTTGGTTTTCCCTTCAAAGCTGGGAGGTGGGCCCGTGAGCCGTTTGCTGCAGAGCAGGTTGCACAAGGCATGGCGGAACTTCTCGGCCACGAAGAAGTACATGACAGGGTCCAGGGCCCCATTGAGGCTGGTGAGGCAGGACGTGATTCGGTTCCCCAGGGCCAGGGCACGCTGAGCGGTGCAGGATGTCCCACCGCCACGGTAGTGAAGCACGTAGACTGAACGGTGGATATGGTAGGGCACGAAACAGATCAGGAAGATGGCCAGAACCATAGCAATCATGCGGACAGCTTTGTTCTTGAGGTGCTTCTCTATACGGGGACCCTGGCGCAGGCTTCGAATGATCAGCAGGTAGCAGGTGACTGTGGTGATGAAGGGGAAGGTAAAAGCCACAGCCAGGGATGCCAGGGCGTGATGGGAGGCCTTCTCCCGGTACAGCTGCAGGCAGACAACTGTGTGGTTGGTCTGCACAGTCTGTGGGCTGACTAGCAACGGGGCCATAGCCACAGCCACCACTACCCACAGGAAGGCGCAGGCCAGGTGGGCATAGAGGGGTCTCCGAAGCTTGAGGGACTTGACCGGGTGCACGATAGCCAGGAACCGGTCAGCGCTGATGCAGGTGAGGAAGTAGATACTGGCGTACATATTGAGGTAGAAGAGGAAGCCGGTGAGTCGGCATGGGATTTCCCCAAAGGGCCAGTGGTTCCCAGAGAAGTGATAAACCAGCCGGGTAGGCAGGACCAGGACGCAGGACAAGTCAGCCACAGCCAGGTGCATCAGGAACACATTGGCTGGGGTGCCCGACTTGTGGTCCCATATGAAGAGCCATAGGGCCAGGGAATTGCCCACAAAAGCTAGGATGAAATCCAGAAGGTAGAAGCAGGCGAAGAGCATGTTCTCGAGGGGCGTCTCCTGTCCACATTGTTCAGAGTAAGCAAGGGAGGAGTTGTCGGTCAGACTCGGCAGGGCTGCTTCCAGGCCGTTCATGGTGTGGCTGAAGGCAGAACGGGGGGGACAGGGCTCAAGGGAATGCAGAAACAGCCACAGGGTCCTAGGATGCACCCCTAAAGTCAGAGGCAGGCCCTCTGATGCCTTCAGAGTCTCCTGACTAACTTGAGGGGAACACAGCTCTTCTAGGCTTGGCAATAACTACTGACCTACCATGGGAAGCGCCTGTGTCTATTGGAGTTGGCTGAGCGTCAGGAGCACTCTGAGCTCCAATCACAGGCCAAATCCAACGGTGGCTCAGTTTTCCCTGTGAGCAAGAAGGGCCTGGGGTCATTGCTATCAGACCCAGGGCCTGGAAACTCCCTTTCTGCCCTGTGCGTAGTTACTCCCTCAGACTTGGAGGGTGGAGTTAGTGATGGAGGGAAAGGGAAGCAGGCTTGATTGTCTGGGTTTGTGAGGGCAAGGAGAACCCTTATTTTTTTTCTAACCCCACCCCAAGGCAGGGGTGGTGTCTCGAGGCTCCCTCAAACCCACTTTCCAAAGGTGAGTAAGCGGGAGCTGTTGCTAAGAGCCTCGCATTTGGCACCCACCGGTCCCCTAGCGTTGGCTTGCCTGGTGAGCCTGCTCTCTGAGCTCTGAGTCCCAGGACCTCCCTCACCTGCTGGCCTGCTCCGCAATGAGCAGTGTGTCACTGCCCCCCTTCCCCCCCCCCGGCTCCTCTGGCACTGGCCAGCAGCGCCCCATCGCAGCTATAGTGGGCATGGTTTCTGCACCCGAGAGCCCTAAGATCTTGGGAGTTTTCCACCACTTAGCCACATTTTGACCAGCTTTTCTGGGTAACAGCTGGGTTTAGGAAACTTGCGCCAGGCCCTCAGACCGGCAGGAGTCCCCTTCCCAGCCAGAGCGTTCCACAGCCCAAGTTGGGGTATGAGAGAGTCCTGCATCTTTTAGGATACAGTCTCACTTCTGCGGACCAAGCGGGGGGGGGGGGGCGCTGTGGCCAGACCTGAGAGTACAGCCCACAGAACATGTACTGGAGTTACCCATCATCCTTTGCTTTGGGGGCTCAGTATAAAATGAAAAATGCGTAACCCCTTGCTCAAAATGGGGATATGTTAGGGCCTAGTGTGCACGAGGCCCTGGTCTGATCCCCAGCACACAGACTGGGCGAGGTGGCAGGTGCCCGTAATCCCAACACTTAGAAGGTGGGTGGATCAGGAGGTCAGGGTCATTCTCCACTACATAGAGAGTTCCAGACCAGCCTAGGCTATAGGAAGCAGTGACTTTAAAAAATAATAATAATTCTAAAAAGTAAGACTTTTTCAGGATTGTGTCTATGGTTAAACAGCCTGTGTGACTGCATGGTGTCTCTACTCTGTCTCCATCACTCAGCCTCCTGAAGCTCTCCGTCCCTCCCTGCCCACCCCTACCCCTTACCTCTTACAGATGGCTTAGGAGGGGAAGGACAGGAGACTGGGGGAAGCAGGTGAGCTGTGAGTCGGCTGTGGGCAGTGCTCCAGGTGGACTCCTTGTAGCCGCAGGAGGAAGGCTTGACTATTTAAGGAGAGTAGGCGAGTCCACCGCTCCTCCGAACCTCAAAAGCAGCTTCATTCCTGAGGGGTCCTTTGTGGTAGGGGTAGGCTGCGCCTCCAGCTGGGTCTGCTTCCACGGAGCGCGTCCTGAATATTCCAGTGTGTCCTCGGACTGTGCACACCCCCATCCCCCAGCCAGACCACAGAGCATCACAGAGGCCAAGTGTGTGACTGTCCTGGGAGCCTGGGAGTGGGCAAGGGCCGGGCAGGGTGGGGGTCTTAAGGCTGGAATCGACAGACACAACAGGACATTTCAGAAGGGGATGATTTTCTGCTAGTGGGGGGATAAGGAGAGGTCAGCTACTATGGCAACGGGCCAGGATCCCAAGCTTACTGGGTTGGCGGGAGGGGAGGGGTTGGAGAGAAGAGGGGGTTGTTATGCATGCCAGGGTCGGGGCTGAGGAGTCTTGGGCCAGATGAGAGGGGATTCTTTCAGACACTTGCTGTAGGGTCCTTGTGTCCTGTCCTGTATAATTAGGCCGCGTTCGGGTGTGTGGAATAAATCATGGCCTTTATGTGGAGCCCTGCACAGCTGCAGGCGCCTTATAATGAGGGTGCTGTCTGTGCTTCGGGTATGCAGCTCAGCCCGGCGGGCCTGGCTCTTTCCTGGGAGAGCCTCTAGGCAGAAGATGGCCAGCAGGAATGCCTCGGTGGCTCCCTGACCAAGACTTGCTCCTGCCGGGGTGGCTCAAACTTGGAAGCGTTGGGTGTTGCCCCAGACCCATCGAAGTTCACCGAGGCTGACGTCACAAATGGGGTAGCCATACAGTGCAGCCAAGTCGGAATTCTCAGTTTCAAAAGACTTAAACTTCTCTATTAACATGTTTGAAATCATGGTTGGGGACACGGCTCAGTTGGCACAGTGCTCGCAGAACTTGCGTGCAAAGCCCTGGGTCCCTGTGCTTGGGAAGCAGGGGCAGGAAGGTGAGAAGGTCAAGGTCATCTGTGGCCACACAGTGAGTCTGAAGCCAGCCTGACTTCCAGGAGAGCCTGCCTCAAAAGCAAACAACCACAGCATTTACGATTATGTGTGGCTCACATCTGGACCTACTGGTCAACGGTATCATCAGCTTGTCTTTTCACACAGCGTCGTGCTGCTGGGAATTTCGCCCCGTCTGACAGCTGAAGAGGCCAGAGCTCAGAGACGTGGAAGCCATTCTCCCTGTGGCAAACTCTAGCAAGGGGCAGAGCCAGGCTCTAAACCCCAGCACGCGTCACTGCATGCCAGGCTTTGTGTGTGTTTGTTCTCTTCTTACTTTCCTGCTGCATTTTCACAGCAGAATTCTTAGGCTCTGCTTTACTTTCTCCTTTGTATCTGCACGTGCACATGCGTGTGCCTGCGTGTGTGCGGGTGTATATATATATATATATATGTGTGTGTGTGTGTGTGTGTGTGTGTGTGCGAGTGCTTGCGAGCATGCGTGTGTGTGTGTGTGTGTATCGCTGTGTGTGGTAAATGTGTGTGTACGTAAAGCAGGAAAACCAGATGGGGTGTCTAGGTGGTGATTTCACAAAGCTCTGAAGGTACCTCAGAGAGAATTAAAGTGGTACCTGAGGAGCCGAGGGGTAGGAAACTCATCAAGTGTTTTCTGTGGAAGCAAGAAGGCCTGAGTTTGATCCCCAAAACTCATATGAAAAAACTTGGTGTGGTAGCGTCTGCCTGCGGTGTCAGCCCTGGGGAAGTGGAGGTAGTCAGGTCGGTTCTTGGGGCCCCTTAGAAAGCTGTTGGAGCCAAATCAAGCTCCAAGCCTGTGGGACGCCCTGTCACTGAAAACAAAGGGAGGGGGCCGGAAAGATTTGCTCAGCGGTTCAGGACACGTGCTGCTCTTCCAAGAGACCTAGGTTTTGTTCCTAGCACCGTATTTGGGGTTTTACAACTGCTTCTATTCAGGCTGTAGGGGGCTCAGACACCTTCTTCTGCCTCCCACGGGCATGCAGACATATGACATACGCTCACAAACATACTTGAGTAAGAATGAAAATAAAACTAGTAAAAATAAATAGGCCGGACAGATGGCTCAGCAGTGAAGAACACTTGCTGCGCTTGCAGAGAATCGGGTGCTGACTCACACACGGCCCATGTCCATGAAATTGGCTGCCTGAGCAGAGCATTCTTAGGCTCACATCCTTTTTGTTGTTGTTGTTGTTGTTTCTGTTTTCCTGGTGCTGAGAACTGGACCGAGGGTCTTGTGCATGCTGGACCCTGAGTTCCAGTGGCAGGCTTATCACAGGCTTTCTGTTACTCAGGTGGCTTCAAGGACATTAGTTCTTGTACAACTTTGCAATATGATTTTAGGGAGCTGAGACAGGCAGAGAGAAGGAGCTGGCTAAACTGCATGACTGGGCAAGGCACTTGTGTCCTTGGCTGCTGTGTAAATGTGTTGGGTGAGGCCAGTGCATAGATGTCTAGGTGAAGATGGGTTCCAGGGATCACAGAAACGAAGGTTGTAGCCACAGGCCCCATCTGCGGCCCGGACACTGGCCCCTGCCTTGTACTTGGCTCTGTTGTCTCAGAGAGATGTTGTCTATTTCTCTCTCCCTTTCAGGCATAGTCCACCTTCACTCACACATCAATACGCTGACCCTGAGTTACTTCTCCATAGCGGTATCCATGGTCCAGTGGAGGTAGTCAGTGGGTTAGCAAGTCTCAACAGGCACCTTGCTTGGGCCTCTAGCACTGGGTGAAAGTGGGAAAATAAGACCCCAGGTGACACTCTGTGGCATCATTCCAGATAGCACAGAGGTAGCAGGGGTCTGCCTGCCTAGAGGATTCTTGCCACAGAGTCCACGTGACACGTGTCTATAGCTGGAGCTCTGAAGAGATGGAGACAGGCAGATCCCCTAGAGCTCACTGGCTAATTCAGGCAAGTAGGTGAGCTCCACATTCTGTGAGAAACCCTGTGTCAAAAAAAAAAAAAAAAAAAAAATGGAGAACAGTTGAAGATTGACCTGAGATTGACCTCTGGTCCTCACACAGGTGCGCACACCTGCACAGACAACTGCACGCACAGGTGCACACATCCACACAAATATGTACACACAACACACACGCACACACACACACAAATATGTATACACAACACACACACACACAAAGGGCCAATGGTCAGTTAGCTGTGACAGGTGGAAAGCTCCCCCTATGGATTTTAAAGGCTGTGAAGGAGGACCAGGTCCAGGCAGGATTACCCTCTTGGAGTGACAAGTGGGGAATGGGGATTGAGGGACATTGGATGGGGTCTAGAGGATCTTTGCCTGAATCTAAATTCTTTGCCTTTTCAATAACGAGGAAACAGAACCTGTGTTGATTTCCTTCTCCATTAAGCCCACAGCTGTTGCTCAGGGGAAGGGACAGAATCATAAATGACTGAAGTCTTCACAAAAAAGACTCTGTGGTGACAGTGGCTGGGTTCAGGAGCCTCCGTGTGACACAGCTTACTTGTCTATGGAGACAGAAAGCGCTTGTGAGCATTAGGGGCCCTCTTCATCCAGCAGACTCCGAAGGGAGGGGTGAATGAGCCCTGCATGGATTTGGCCACCCTGACATGCATTCACTATAGCTTGCGCTAAAAGACACGTGAAAAGTAAAGCCAGTCTTTCAGCAAATGGCAGCTAAATGTCTCTTCTATATCAGACAATGTCCTAGGCTCAGGGAGCCTTGGAAAAGAAACGTACTTCTCAGAGACAGCAAATACAGGCATTTTAGTGTATATGTATGTTTTCCAGAATGTGGGTCTTGGGGTTCAAACTCACGGTTGGTGACGAGAGTCTTTACCTGTGAAGCCATCCTGTCTGCTGCTGAGTGTGGGAAGGCATCCCTTTCAGAATCTTTACCTGTGGCCTCCCATGCCTTGTGACTGGGAAACTCGCTTTTCTCAAACCTGGGCTAAACTCATTTTGAATTACCTAGCCATCACAGAGGGTCCAAGCAGGATTCTAGACTTCCTTTTCCAGGAGATGGCCAGGGAAGAGGTAGAGGAGGGTTGCTGTCCCCCAACACTCACTGTTACTTCCTACAGGCATCTCTGCCGGCCTTGCCACAACCGGGAGAAGGCCAAGGGCCTGGGCAAATTCATCTGCCAGCGGTGTCACCTCACCATTGACGAACAGCCCCTCATGTTCAAGAATGATCCCTACCACCCGGATCACTTCAGCTGCTCCCACTGTGGGTAGGTGCCCAGTGCTGGCCCTGCGTGTGGCAAGGGCAGTCCTGCTGTCAGAAAGCAGGGCTGCTGGGATCCCCACCAGGGACAGAGGCAAACAAGGTAGGCAGAGAGGGCACTCAGTGTATGAGGCACAGAGCTGCAGGGTGAAGGCGGGATGAAGCGGAAGGACTTGGGATTGAGGAGGGCAGTGTAAGGGACAGTCCCTCGACTGAAGGACTGTCACAGAGATGTCACAGGGAGGAAAGAGTGGAGTGTGTTCGGCTGGTGCTGCTGTTGAAGAAGGGAGAGAGAGGAGAGAAGCTGAGGATCCCCACAGTCCTTTCGTATCCCTTCTGTGCTTGCCCCAGACACACAGTCTGGTTTAGACGGGAATGAGAAGAAACAGACCTTTATCCCAAGAAGCTAGCTGGACAGTACACAGGCGCATTCTGCCTGCCTGGGCGGGAATTCTGTGCCCCGGGGCCTGTCTGGGGTGCACACAGGAAGTCTTCAGAGATTAGAACGATCTGGTTGAGCCAGAGCAAGGGCCGCAGGCACAGAATCCTGGACCAAGGGTCATAGTGGCCCCACAGAAAGGCAGGATTGTACCTGAGGGGGCTCTGTGCTGTCTTCCAGGAAGGAGCTGACCTCTGACGCCCGAGAGCTGAAGGGCCAGCTCTACTGCCTGCCCTGCCACGACAAGATGGGCATCCCCATCTGTGGGGCCTGCCGCAGGCCCATTGAGGGCCGAGTGGTCAATGCGCTGGGCAAACAGTGGCATGTGGAGGTAAGCATGGAAGGGGCACAGGTTCAGGTCAGGACATGGTCTGGTCCACAGTCCCTCCAGACCTCGCCCCAGGCCAGGCGCCAGCTGCTTCCCAGGGAGAAACTTTCTCTGGCGGTGACTTCTTGTTCTAGCCAGGAACGCCATGGGAGCCAGGAGACCAGCGCCCACAGGCCAGGGTCAGGCAGACACACTTGTCTTAACTGTTATAACTCTTTGCATTCTGGAAGATCCTGGAGTCAGGCGCAAACATGATATACAGTCCACCCAGAGCACCCGGCAGGACGGCGGGCGGATGACAGGACCTGTTGGGCACACAGTCCCACACAGACATGTTCAAGGACGAGGAGGAGGGCTGGCAGTGTAGCTCAGCTGGGAGAGTGCTTGCCTCATGTAGACAAGGACCCCGGTTTAGTCCCCCGGGACAGTATCAAGCCAGGCATGGCGGGGCGTGCCTGTAAACCTACCACCTGGGAGGATCACAAGTTCAGTACCACCCTTGACAACACAGTGAGTTTGAAAACATCCTGGACTACATGAGACCCTGTCTTGAGAAAAGTCAAGAAAGAAAGAGAGAGAGAGAGAGAGAGAGAGAGAGAGAGAGAGAGAAAGAAAGAAAGAAAGAAAGAAAGAAAGAAAGAAAGAAAGAAAAGAAAAGAAAAAGGAAACAGGAAGGACGGCAATAGGGCCGGCTGTTTCCTACAGCACCCACGCTGCTGTCAGTTCTGTTCACTGTGAGCCTCATACCCTTTCCTGTCTTCTGGGGTCCCTGGTGCTGCCCTGACGCTGCCCGGCCACTACCTCTTTTCCTTCAGCACTTTGTCTGTGCCAAGTGTGAGAAGCCGTTCCTGGGGCACCGGCACTATGAGAAGAAGGGCCTAGCCTACTGTGAGACCCACTACAACCAGGTACGGCCTGGGACGGATCCTGCAAAGACACAGGCCTGGAGGCAGTCAGGGGGCCTAGGGACCTTGAGAGGGCAGGGCTGGGGCTGTGTCCAGACAGCTCCATGTCCAGAAGAGGCGCTTGGGTGGCCCGTTGGAGAAGGTCCTGGGGAAGGCTGTGGGCTCTGCTGCCCTGTCTCTGGGGACAGTGTGTCCTCACATGCTGAGAAGGACAGCAGATGCTTCCTAGGGTCTCTAGGCTTGTGGGGTCTCCTCTCATGCGAATGGGCCATTGCAGGCACTTGGGAGTCCACCGTGTGCACCAGAACCCAGGCCTGTGTGCTCAGGCCCTGGGTCCCAGCTTGGAGTCTTGAAGCCTGTATGTAAGAGATGTGAGCATCTGTCCACATAGTGTCTTCACTTGATGGATAAGCCATTGCAGCCCCAGAGGCTGACACGGGCAGGGTCCCACCCTGTCTCTTACAGGCCTTCAGTAGGATGCATCAGTGGGGAGCAACATCTCAACATGTGGCCCTTTCAGGGGAGTGCTTCTAGTGGGCTGGGCGCCCTCAAAAAGGGGTCAGGAGGTTATCACATCTGTGGACAGCACGGATGCTTTGCTTTGTCCACAGCTCTTTGGAGATGTTTGCTACAACTGCAGTCATGTGATTGAGGGCGATGGTGAGCTCCTCCCTCCCTTGCTTTCTCCCAACCAGCCTGTTCTCCTCATGATGGGAGGGATTGGTGGTGTGGTGTGGTGTGGAGGGGAATGGGAGTGTGGGAGAGTCGGGGTATTGGGGTTGGTGGGGAGGAGGTTTGTCCCACAGCTGCAGGTCCATCTGGCTCTGGCTTTGCCAAGCTGGGCCTGCAGCTGGCTTGGGTGGGGCCTGCTAATCCCACATTTGGCTTTACAGTGGTGTCAGCTCTCAGCAAAGCCTGGTGTGTGAACTGCTTTTCCTGTTCCACCTGCAACATGAAGCTCACTCTGAAGTGAGTAACGGGCCCTTTGCAGCCTTGGCTTTCCACCCTGCTATCCCTGAACTCCAACCTCAGGCAAGCCGCCGGCATGTGTGAGGCAGGAGCAGGCCAGAGTGAGGCATCCCAGGGACCCCAGAGAAAGATGAAGGAGGCAGTTATGCACATCAAAGAACCTTGAGTTTTGGGGAGAGGGCATTATGGCTCAGGAAACAGCCTCTGTAAAGGCATGCTGCCTCTTCCATGAAGCCAAGGAAGATGTGGGGTGTCAGCAACGAGGAGGTGAGGTGGTGTTCAAGCTTCCAAGAGCAGTAGAGGACCGAGAGGGTTCTGGAGAAAAGCCTCTATGAGGGAAGGGAGACCTACAGGCTCATCTCTCCTTCCCCAGTGCCCTTTGTCCAATGCCTTTCACTAGAACCTGGCCTGCTGGCTGTGACAGGCTGGAGTGGGAGGGCAGGGGGCCGGCAGCTGAGGGAAACTTGTTCCTCTGCCTCTGGGCTATTGTCTGGAGTCTGGGTTGGTAGGGCATAGACTGCTGGGGTTCTGTCTGTAGGAACAAGTTTGTGGAATTCGATATGAAGCCTGTGTGTAAGAGATGCTATGAAAGGTTCCCCCTGGAGCTGAAGAAGAGGCTAAAGAAGCTGTCTGACCTGACCTCCCGCAAGGCCCAGCCCAAGTCTGTGGACATCAATTCAGTCTAAAGGTCCTCAGTCTCCATGTGTGTGCCTGTGGAACCTCTGCTTTCACCCTCCTGCCCCAGTTCTTGCTGACCACCTCCCATTTCTGCTCCATCCCAGCTCCGCCATCCACCCTGCTCCCTGTATGTCATCCTTCCTGTTTCCACTCTACAGTGGGCTAAGGAGCTTCTCATGCCCACAACAGGAACAGGGACAGGAACAAACTGGGACAGGATTGTCTGCCACTTACTTGTCCTGCAGATCACAGCCTTACACCAGTCCATTCCATTCTCCTGGGAAGCTGTCCCAGGCCTGGGGCCAGCACCATGGAGGTGGAGGCATGGGGGCGGGTCACCCTTCAGTTATTCAACCACATTAGGTCCCTGTGCTTACACTGTGTCAGCAAATCCACCTCTGGATGAAGCAGATGGAGGGCTGAGATTCCCACTGCCTTCACTACTCAGGAGACCTTCTCGGCTGCTCACCAAGGCTGGGGTCCCACTTCTGTGGAGGCATACTGCCCCACCCAGCTCAAGCCTGCAATCGGTCACACACTTGTTCAATGAAGGCTGATTCACACACTCAGCGTTCTGTGTGATTTGTGGAAGGGACGGAGGAGGGTGTTCTGTAAAGCTACCCCTGCTGGAGATGCTCAGCACTCAAGAGATACCCCAGACAGGCAGACAGAAGAGTTTCAGGTTCTCCAGGTTGGCTGCCAACAGGACTTGTAAACAGAATCAGCCAGGACCCCTCAGACCTAGGCGGCGGTGGCCGTGTCAGCTAGTTTGGTAAGTGCACGGTTGGTGTTGGTGGTGGGGTGTCTCTCAGGGCCTGGCAATTGAACAGGTCTCCAAAGCCCCATTTACTGCCATCGGCATCCACTCTCCACCAGGCCCGCCTGGGAGCATAGCAGGCATACTGGTGACCCACAAGAATGGAAGCTGGGGGCGAGGGCAGGAAGCAGGATCTCCAGGGCTGTCATGTGGTTTTGGGAAAAGTCACGGTGCACTTTGCTTTTCATCTGGATGAAATCCTGTGGTGGGTAGAGAGCCTCAGACTAGCTGCCCACCTGATACCCGTTCTTCCCCTGAGAGACACATACTCCCTCTCGCTAGGTGAATCTTTATTGTGAATTCAGGGATGCCACCCACCACCTGCCAGGAGGCGGGAGACCTTAGCTGGCCTCTGCAGTGACCACCCAGGCGAGACAGTCTGGTGTGCCGAGAAGCAGATGGGAGACCAGCCTGGAAGGCTGTGTGCAGATGAGACCTGTTAGGGGTTGGCCAGGGCTGGGGCCCTGAAGCCCCGCTGTTTGTTCACTGCGCTCAGGAGCTGCTGTACATAGGAGGTCAGCAGGTCATCCATCTTGTAGCCCTAGACAGGACAGGGTGGGATCAGAGGCTGTGGGTACAGGGAGAGCCCTGGGGCAACATGGCAGAACTGAAAGAAAGGAGGAAGGCGGCCTCCCCATGTTGGGCTTTGCTAGTGGACCCCCCTCAGAATGGGCTGGGATGTCTTAGAGTCCTTGGACATGCTGGATGTCAGTCTTGGGCATCCATCTATCCTCCCCGCAAAGCCTCGGCTGGCTTAGCCTGATCATGGGCGAGCAGTTTCTCATGGCGAACGACTTCCGAGTGGGAGTAAAGAGAACTCCCCAACACTTCTGGGAGCTGTGTAGTGGTGGGATACGGGGCCTGTGCGCTCACCAGAGAGGTCTCACAGAGCAACCGGCTGCCCTGGCCCAGGCTTCCCAGTGCCATGTGGAAGTAAGTGCTGCCACTACTCCAGCTGGAGATCTTGGTGAAAGGGTAGGTGTTCAGCAGTTCCTGGGAACAGACAGACAACGGGTGGGCGGGAGGCCAGGCTGCAGGGGAGGGGCAGGCAGGAAGGCAGGCATCCCACCCCAGGATGGATGACTGCCGCGAGGCAGCCCCTGCTGCCTGCCCTACCTTGGTCTTGGGGTGGATGAGCAGTAATCCATGGCGGTTAATGGCGATGAGGAGAATGTCTGGGTAGGAAGGCTCAGAGGTTTGCTGGGGAGGTAGAGGCACAATTATTATAAGGTGTGTGTGTGTGGGGTCAGGTGACCACTTTCTATTTGTATGTGTGTCCATGTGAATGTACGGAAGTAAGCGCATGGGTAAACATGCTCATGTGTGGGGCGTGTGCTAGCGTGTGCCCTGTATGGAGGGCAGAGGCCAATCTTGGATTGCCATTCCTCAGGTGCCAACCACCTTTGTTTTTTAAACATATGTTTGTGTCCGTGGATAATTTCAGGAGTTAATTACCTCTTTCCACCAGGTGGGTCCTAGGGATTGAACTCAGGCCAATCAGGCTTAGGTGTCAAGTCCCTTAACCCACAGAGCCATTTCACTAGCCATATGTGTGTATATATGTAAGTATTTTTGAAACATTTCTCACTTGCCTGGAACTCACCAAACAGGCTAGGCTGGCTAGCCAGCGAGTCCTAGGAATTCCTTTCTCTGTCTCCCCAGTGCTGAGATTACTAGCAGACAACAGTGTGTTTAGCTCTTTTGTTATTCTTGTGTTTCAACATGAGTTCTGAGGATCAGACTCAGGTCCTTATGCTTTCAAGGGAAGACATCTCCTTAGCCCCTAGGTGGACACTTCTTACGTGCTCGCCAGAGCTACAGTCAGAACACACACGCTTGTGGCTACTGATAGGCACCGAGGGTTCAACTAAATGGGGCCTGTATGGGGCCAGAGACTGGGTGTGGATGAAGGCCTACCTTCACCTCAAAGAAGGCAGACCCAAAGGTAGGCCAGCGGCAGATCCACTTCAGGAACTCCACCTTGGCCTCTGCCGCCGTCTTGTGCTTGTGTTTGTCACATTCCAGAAGCAGGCTCTGGTGGAAGAGAGGACCATTGATGCCTGCTCCCCATACAGGGCACAGACACCCAGGGCCTGAGACTCAGGACAGAGCAATGCCCACCTGTGTGGACGACAGTGCAGCAACAGGGCCTCAGGAGTACTAAGGACAGGGAAAGGCCAACTACAGGCAGCCCACACTCCAAGCCAACCAGCCTGCCCGTCCCCTCAAACCCTCTGAAGAACCTTTTTCCACTCCTCTGAGGACATCAGGCGCGTGAGGTTCTGAGGCACCAGTTCCTTCAGGATCTTTGAGACACTAGCCAGTTGAGACCGGTCATCGCCAAACTGGACTCTATAGATGAGGCCTGCTAGGTGGATGACGTCTTCCCGGGAGCACTTGTGAAACCCGCGCAGATACTTGGGCAGCTCCTGAGTGGCAGACATGCTGGGCCTCAGGTGACAGGAGCCTGGAGTGGGGGTGTTATACTTCCCATTCACTAACTGAGCAGAGCAAACGCTGAGGACTCCAAGGGGAGAGTTTCTAGCCAGGGGAGAGACTTAAGTGAGGGCTCCTGGTATTGAGCTGTGGTGGACACGGGGTTTGTCCACATGATGTCCTTTCAGGTTGCAGGCTGGTTCATCACATTCAGCTTTCTGTGTGCTCTCCCCCACTTCACACTGTAGATCTTGTCCCCAGAGCTGGTGGGCTCTGTTGTCCCTGGAACCCACAGGGTCTGGTCCTGCTCATCTCATTCTACCCGGTTCCAAGCGCTTGGGGCAAGGCCGTCCCTCCCTGACCCATTCCTTTCCCCTGTCTCAGGACAGGTTTGGGATAGGATGGAATGGCTCTTATGACTTCAAGAGGGGCCACGTGGTGGGTACCTGGTGGTAATGGAGTATGGTGTCTGCATTCACATCCTTCCCAGGGATCACACTGAGCCACAGTTTCCGCATAAAGAACACCTGGTAGGGAAGGGTTGTGGGGGCCCCTAGAAGAGGGGTGGCAGTGGATACCAAACAGGCTCCAAAGACTCACTCCTGAAGAAAGCCCTCCTAGCCCTCATGTGACTCCTGCTGCCTTCCGGCCTGGAAAGTGCCTGCCCTTCCTCTTCCAAGTCCTGACTCATCTTCATCCAGCAGTGTAGGAGCTACCTCCAGAAATGTCCCTGGGCCCACCTCCCCGCCATGGAGCCCGGGCTACCTTTCACACCCTGCCAGAAGTTAGCCTTTGCTTGTCTGGGGGAACATGAGAGTGAGGATGGGAGAGGGGCTGGAACCATAGCAGTGACTCAGTGGGCAGGCAGCCACCCCCCTCCACAGAGATGCCCCCTCACCTTCTTTCTGGGGCCTGTTCTTCTTGACCCAGTCAGATACCTGCCTCAAGCTGTCAAAAAAGAAGTCTCCTTCCTTCAGGCTGATGACCTTTAGGGAGGAGGGAGGGTCAGATCTGCCAGCTTCCAGGGTGTAGCCTCCAAGGAGACCCAGCAGAGCTGGACCCAGAAACTACTCATTTTGGCGGGGTGGGCTGGGACTCCCTCGGGATTGACAAGCAGGGTGTGGGGCTCCAAAACCCCACCCCATTCTTCCCAACAGCCCCAGCTATGCACTGAAGGGCCTGGATAGCACAGCGTTCTGTGTAAGCTGAGGTCTGCTGGTCTGGAGGCCTCCTCAGGCAAGAGGACCTTGCTCTACCCCTTGGCCTACCAAGTTGCTTACCTTGTCTGTGATCTTGATGAAGAGGCTGCAGCCATCCCAGGAGGCCAGCCGCAGCTTGGTGGTGATGCCCTCACATAGGTCTCGCACCCGGCTGCTGCTGCCCACCTCCATTGTCTGCACAGAGAGGTAGCAGGTGAGGCCCGGGACCCGAGGGCGAGAAGGCCTCCCAAACTTCTATTCTGCAGTTTATCTCCCCCCTGTACTTTGTGTGTGCGTGTGCTATATCCATGTTTATGTGAGTATGTGCACATACATGCAAAGGCAAGGGGTGAACCTTAAGTGTCTTGTCTAGCTGTCTGTCTGTCTCCCTCCTTCCTTCCTCCCTCCCTCCCTCCCTCCCTCCCTCCCTCCCTCCCTTCCTTCCTTCCTTCCTTCCTTCCTTCCTTCCTTCCTTCCTTCCTCTCTGTCTCTCTCTCTCCTTTCTTTCTCTTTCTTTCTTCTTTGAGTCAGGGTGTCTCTGTGTAACCTTGGCTATTCTGGAACTTACTCTGTAGACCAGGCTGGCCTTGGACTCTGATTCATCTGCCTCTGCCTCCCAAGTGCTAGAATTCAATATGTGTGCCACTCTGACTTCAAGGATGCTCTTGTCTTTCTTGATTGCTCTTCACAGTTTGTTTTGTTTTTCTTAGACAGGGTCTCTCACTGAATGTGAAATGCATCCATCTGCCTAGGGCAATTGGCTACAGGGAGTCCCTGCCTCCCCAGTGCTATTGAGCCCAGCTTTTACGTAAGGGTTGGGAATCTGAAGGAACCATCACCCTGGGCCTGTCTTTGTCATCTAAAGCCCATGTTCTGTGTGAAGAAGGACAGGTCCCAGAAAGCCATCTATGTTTCCATAGTGCTTGGTAACAGCACTTACTGTCCTGGGCCTTGACTAGACCAGGGAGGTCTGACCCTTTGGACTTGTATTTTGTGAGCCTGTAGCCAGACTGTGGGAACTCTTATTGCAGAGATTCAACTGTACCCAAGCCACAGATGCCCAGGGGAGGGTCTGAGAGTAGCCTTGGTCCCATTCTCCTTTGATGCTTTTTTACTCATAGCTGCACCCAGTGGTCTCCTACCTTCCCTTCTACCTTTTCAAGCCTCCATGGTAAGCTCTGAGCCAAAGGGCCATGACTATTGCATTGAGGGCCTACAGGCCCCAGGACACAGCCTTGCTGCCCACGTTTCTTGCTTCCTTTCTTTTTCTTCCTTGGCTTGAAATCTTAACTCACACCTCTGAAATAGCTCCCATTTCCAATCACTGGTAGCCTCCCTGTGGCCCCTTAACTCAGTGCAGTGCTCCTCCATGCTGGCTTGGAGTTTGGAGGCAGTCATGCTATGGCACACTTGGGAGTAGCAGCGGTTGGGGTGAGAGAGTCCATTTGGAATGTGGACCTAATTAAATGAACAAAGAGCATCCTGGGATGGTGAGAATGTGTCCTGCAACCTGCTGAGGGTACCTCACTCTGGGTACCAGGCTGGGAACTCACCTTACTGGTGTCATTGGGGAGGTAGACCTCATGGCATAGCTTGGAGCCATTCTGTTCAGCAGCCTTCACCTCCACGTGATGTGGAGGCTGCTTCCGGGGTCCCACCCTGAAGAGGACAGAGTGTGCTACAATGCCACTCCTTTCACTCCTGTACCCACCCCGACTGCCAACCTCAATGGGGCATTCAACCTGATGCTAGAAACAAGAGCCCTCAATGACCAGCTAGGAGGGCAGGTAGATTCCTTCTTCCATACCCCCCAAGGTTTGTCTCTGCCTGGTGGGCTCTATATGTGACCCTGGCATAAAGATGAGCCCAGTCCCACCTTCCTGCAAGAAGGCTGGGGGCCGATGGGCTCCCTAGCAGTACCAGGAACTGCTAGCTATGTAGTATGGACAGGAGTGTTCTTGTGTCACAAGTAAGGGAATTGGGCAGGAGGTGGGGACTCCAGCATGGCCTTTCAAAGGATGCTACTTCCTCTATGACTACAGTTGCATGTGGCCACTCACACTCACTGTCTGCCCATGCTCATCACGGTCAAGACCGAGATAGAGAAGGCAGGAGGCCCCTATCCTAGGGACAGGGGAAGATGTGGACACAGTGGGCTCATGTTTGAAGTAAAGCAGGGTCCAGGGAAGGTTGAGTTTTGTTCTCAGGACCTATCCTTGGTGAGAGGAAGAGAGCTACCTTTATTAGCATCTCCTAAGAGCCTGCATAAATACGTCAACCTCATGGTAACTCTAGGGTTAGTGGGGAATGACAGAGCTCTGTGGGAAGACACTCTTGGTGATAGTAGAGAAGAAGGAGATGGTACAAGGGTTAGGAGGGACAGGTCTGTGACCTCAGCCCCCCTAGGCTGGACTCAGCCACCCTGGGCCACCAATTGATTCAGATGTTCTGAGTGGGCAGAACTGGGGCAAGGGAAGCCACAGGTAATATGGCTATTGATCCTGATTGAAACATCTCTGTGGACCCAGGCCTTCAAGGGACCCTCCTGGGCCTCCTGCCCCTTCTTCCACTTGGTCTCACCTGCTTGGAAGAGGATATGAGGTCATACAGGGCCATGTCCCATTATACCTGCCCTGAGCTGGGCCAGGGTTGGTGCTCTAGGGTATAGGGCAGCAGGCTTACCTCAGAACCCTGTGCAGCCTGCGGCTGCAGTCAGGAGCCAGTGGCTTCTTCTTCCGGGAGTCTATGAACTTCTGAGCATGTGGCAGCAGCGTTTTGCCTGGTGGGAAGAGGCCTGTGCAGAGCCACAGCAGCTGCCAGGCTCGCTCTTCACTGAACCTGTGGGGTAGTGCCCATTAGTGGTAGGGCTCTATATAGTGTCAGGCCAACCAGGACCTTCAGAAGCAGAAGTGGGACACTTGGGCCTGTGGGTTTGGGAGCTTAAATGGAGGGACTACATTATGGCAGTCTATAATCCAGCTGTCCAATGCAACAGGGCACCCTCATGGCCTGATGATGAGATGGGTGCCATTGCCTATCCTATGGAAATGGGTTGAGAGGCCACAGCCTGCCCAGGTCACACAGAAGAAGGATGGCAGTGGGCAGGGCTGTCCCTCCTTCGTTAAACACCCCCAGATACTAGGAGAGCACACAGGGCTCTACACTGCCCTGGCTGCTTTGACTGCTGGGTGTGGATCCAAGTGTGGCTATTTCCCCCTAGCAGAGGCCTAGTCCAGGGCCCTCTGGAGGCTACACCTTGGCAGACCTGATGGAGTTGTGAGTCAGCTGCTTCAGGATCTGGCAGTAGAGCTCATCCTGAAGGGCTGGGTCCTGTAGGGCTAAGGAGAACATCTGGTCTGTGAGCTCCACACTGTGCCACGACTGCCGGGAAGGGTAGTCGCCTGTGTACTTGAGAATGGGTGTGACTGTGAAGGAGAACTGTACCTCAGGCAGCCTCAGGCTAAGCCTCCACCAGAGCCTTCACGCTGGCCCAGTGCTGCTCCCTGGGCTCAGGCTGAACCCTGAACCAAGCTACTCACTGACCCCCTAAACCATGCTCACGCTGACCCCTGAACCTAGTCCGGAATTGACCTCTGGACCAGTACACACTCTACACCCTGATCCAGGCTCACACTGACCCCTGAATCAAGCTCCTCACTGACCTTTGACCCAGGCTCACGCAGGACCCCTAAGCTGGGCCCCACCCCCTAAGGACATTTTCTCCAGGCCTCAGGCATCCTCACAGGGAGCTGAATATTGGCTCTGCAACACGCTTTCACATGTGAGGCCTGGCGCCTCACAGGTGGCTGTGGGGCCTGGAGGGGGCTCAGGTGGGTACTGGGTATGCCTGCAGCTAGGATAAGGTGGTTGGAAGGATATCGAGGAAGATCTGGCAGGCCGCATCCCGCAGTTTGACTTTGTCATGGACACATTTGAGCAGTGGCTGGCGCAGCGGCTCTGGGGAGTAGGCCCACAGATGGCCCCGGCTTCGGGCCATGGGCATTGCAGCCCTGCCGATGGTCTCCTTTTCTGGGACCCTGCCAGATACAGAGCTGGTGTGAGGGCTTGTGCTAAGGCTTTCTCTGCCCATGCTTGGCCTCCCTCTGTGCTGCCTTTCCCTCCTTGTACCCACGGCCCTGCACCTGCCACCCCAGCCTTCCAGCCACCCTGGTCCTTGGGGTGGGAAGCGCACCTGAAGAACTGGTAGGAGAATTCCTCCAGGGTGTATGGTGGCTCTGTGAGCTCCTCCTCAGGCGGTGGCTCTGCAGCCTGCACTTCCTGGGCTGCCAGCTTCCGTTTCTCTGGTGACATGGCCAGCAAGCTCTGCAGGGGGTGGGCTGGTGGTTACCCAGGAGCTACTGCCCACAGGGCTTCTCCTGATTTAGCTGCCTCGGTGAGTTGGAAAAGGTGAGAACACAGCAGTGAAAGGCCTTCACCTACTATGTGACCAAGTTGATTCCATCTCTCTGTGATCTACCTTTCTTCCTTCCTCTCTTCCTTTTAAAAAAAGATTTATTTATTTATTTTATGTATATGAGTGCTCTGACTGCATGTACACCTGCATGCCAGAAGAGGGCATCAGATCCCAGTATAAATGGTTATGAGCCACCATGTGCCATGTGCTTGCTGGGAATTGAACTCTGGACCTCTGGAACAGCAGACAGTGCTCTTAACCACTGAGCCATCTCTCCAGCCTGACCTTCCTTTTCTTTAGCACCAATAGCTGTGGAGTCTGTCTACTCTGTTCCCACTCTGGGTCTCACAACCCACGGTTCTCTTTCCCTAGGACATCTCTGCTCAGGGATTTAAAAGCTGCTGTTGATGGCAACCTTGAGTTGCAGGCTTAGGGCATCTACCAGATACTTTGTGTGTGTGTGTGTGTGTGTGTGTGTGTGTGTGTGTGTGTGTGTGT